AAAGTTGGAGGCTAGGTGGAGTTAGTTCTATCAGATGTTATCTTATCTCCTCGCCATCGACAACAAAGGAGCTCGACAAGTCAAATCAACAGCAAAAGGGGCTCTCAATTTAAGGTGCCCAGGGTGTGAATGGCTGTCTGTAGCTTTGAGCGATAAACATAGAATATCCAGTCTTGGCTTCATTGTTGTCGGCATGGCTGTTGTTGTTGTCGCCGCCTCCGTCGTCATTGTCTTCGTTGTTGTTTTAGTCCTTTTATTGACTTGAGCTAACGAAAAGGAATATTATGCTGTTGGTGTACCTCGCTCGTGTTAATTGCAGCGGTTTAACTTCCAATGGAAAACGTTTTGCGGTGAGATTCCAGACAGCGCACCCGGTGGTCTGAGCGCGGGGTCCTACATGCTGATCATGTAAGTTTTATATTGCCTTTTTTGAGATCGGAAGCTCATTAGTTCAGCTTCACAAAATACATAGAGGCCAACGGATCCAAAAATAAATATAAAATAAATGTTTAGAGAAAAAAGGGCGGATGGGTGGTGACCATAAAGAGAAAAGAAGAAAAACGTGTTGAACATGGATTAGGCGTTTGAAACCTGCTGAAGCCGGTTAACTCGTCGTGACGACACACCATGACGATGTGAATTCGGTGAATTGAATGTTTTTCCCTTGACCAATCTCTTGTGGGTCTGGTCTATTCCCTTTCAATCGTTGAAGGAGCTACATCTGCGGCTTGATAATAAATCCTGGGGGCATACCTACAGGTGTTCCAAAGCCACACTGAGTGACTCTCGTGAAAATTGAAAGATTGTATCAATGTTTACGACTGTGGCGCGGGAAATTAACACTGGTGGCGTGTGGGTAACTGCAAACAATATTTGGATTTACATTTCTGGATTAACTAAGACACGACCTAATTGCAGTTCCCAAATCAACTTGTTCTATAAACTACCTCCAGGGTTGTTGTGAGTGGTGATCTCTGCACCCTTTACACTCTGCCCAGCTTCAATGAACTTGTTGTCTCCATGTGGATTATCCAACTGCAGTACCACCCGTGACTAACGACCACCCCTTGGGGCCAGACAAAGCGGTCTTTAGTGGCAGGTGGTCCTTAGTTAAGAGGTTTGCACCACACAACCATACTGTATGAATGTGAGACGGTGCGTGCCTGGCAAAGTGGTCTGTGGTAGCAGGCTGGTCGCTAGTCACGGTGGTCTTTATTTACAGGTTTTACTGTAGTACCAGGCTGGTCGCTAGTCACGGTGGTCTTTAGTTACAGGTTTTACTGTAGTACCAGGCTGGTCGCTTGTCACGGTGGTCTTTAGTTACAGGTTTTACTGTCGTACCAGGCTGGTCGCTAGTCACGGTGGTCTTTAGTTACAGGTTTTACTGTAGTACCAGGCTGGTCGCTAGTCACGGTGGTCTTTAGTTACAGGTTTTACTGTAGTACCAGGCTGGTCGCTAGTCACGGTGGTCTTTAGTTACAGGTTTTACTGTAGTACCAGGCTGGTCGCTAGTCACTGTGGTCTTTAGTTACAGGTTTTACTGTAGTACCAGGCTGGTAGCTAGTCACGGTGGTCTTTAGTTACAGGTTTTGCTGTAGTACCAGGCTGGTCGCTAGTCACGGTGGTCTTTAGTTACAGGTTTTACTGTAGTACCAGGCTGGTCGCTAGTCACGGTGATCTTTAGATACAGGTTTTACTGTAGTACCAGGCTGGTCGCTAGTCACGGTGGTCTTTAGTTACAGGTTTTACTGTAGTACCAGGCTGGTCGCTAGTCACGGTGGTCTTTAGTTACAGGTTTTACTGTAGTACCAGGCTGGTCGCTAGTCACGGTGATCTTTAGTTACAGGTTTTACTGTAGTACCAGGCTGGTCGCTAGTCACGGTGGTCTTTAGTTACAGGTTTTACTGTAGTACCAGGCTGGTCGCTAGTCACGGTGGTCTTTAGTTACAGGTTTTACTGTAGTACCAGGCTGGTCGCTAGTCACTGTGGTCTTTAGTTACAGGTTTTACTGTAGTACCAGGCTGGTAGCTAGTCACGGTGGTCTTTAGTTACAGGTTTTGCTGTAGTACCAGGCTGGTCGCTAGTCACGGTGGTCTTTAGTTACAGGTTTTACTGTAGTACCAGGCTGGTCGCTAGTCACGGTGATCTTTAGATACAGGTTTTACTGTAGTACCAGGCTGGTCGCTAGTCACGGTGGTCTTTAGTTACAGGTTTTACTGTAGTACCAGGCTGGTCGCTAGTCACGGTGGTCTTTAGTTACAGGTTTTACTGTAGTACCAGGCTGGTCGCTAGTCACGGTGATCTTTAGTTACAGGTTTTACTGTAGTACCAGGCTGGTCGCTAGTCACGGTGGTCTTTAGTTACAGGTTTTACTGTAGTACCAGGCTGGTCGCTAGTCACGGTGGTCTTTAGTTACAGGTTTTACTGTAGTACCAGGCTGGTCGCTAGTCATGGTGGTCTTTAGTTACAGGTTTTACTGTAGTACCAGGCTGGTCGCTAGTCATGGTGGTCTTTAGTTACAGGTTTTACTCTACATGCAGGTGACGAAACCTACATGTAGGTGGGGTGCCCGTTTGGGATTAGGGGCCATGCCTGTGGGAGATGCTTGTGTGCTACAATCTGAATGAGACACGCAATGCTCCAGAAAACACTTTGATAAAAACTACGTGGATGCAACAATTTCAAGACAGCAATAAAAAGTAGTATAAATTCAGCCTCCATCACCACACGACAACGAAGCCAAAAGTTTGGAACCTTCATCAAGCTTGGAAAACTTTGTTGATGTGTGGTGATGGTGGCAGAATGTATCCCATTTCATGCTCCGTAAAACACTTTGAGTTTGTCTCTTGTCACTTTCTTTCTTTTCTTAGAGTCTTGCCAGCCGTTGCCCTGTATTTTGTAGTGGGTATTGTGGTGCAGAAATTTGTACTAAAGGGAGACAACATGCTGCCGAACTCTGGCTTATGGACATCACTACCGGGATTAGTCAAGGTAAGAGGCTCTCAGTGTGGCCGTGTATGTGTGTGTGCGATGCATGCGAGCGCTAGGCATTTCACAAATCGGCCCGATTCTTTCGCCTAATCGGCTTTTCGATCGGCTAAGAAAATGTCCAAATTCGGCCATATGATGAGCCCCAAAGTCAGAATTCGGCTCAAACCCGTACTTGAAATCATCTCTCGCAGTGTAGATGTACGTTTACACGCACGCTGTAGAGGCACTAGGAAATCCATTTTCGGCGAATTCAGCGCGAAATTGGTAAATTCGGTGCAATTATCGGCGATTTCTTGACAGCCATTGATTTCGGCGTCTTTTCCTGCGGGACGGTTTCGGAAATGCCTGAAGTCGCAGTCGCCTTGCGCAGAAAATGGCTACAGAAATTGTATTTGCATACTGTCGAGGCCCTGAAACATCGAATTTCGGCGAATTCATTGTGAAAATTGCGTATTCGGTGAAAAGATCGGTGATTTCATCAAAACGACTGTTTTCCGCGGCAAATTTTTCGGACGGCCGATTTGGAAAATGCCTAGCGAGCCCACGCTCGCGCGAGTGTGTGTGTGTGGGGGGGGGGGGGGGGGGTGCTTGTACGCGCGCGTATACGTGTGTGTATCGACTGCGGATGGGGCAGTGGTGAACACTGAACCAGCTGCCGGTAGTGCACTACTGAACTGTTTTGTGCTCAACACGGATATGATGAGTGTGGGTTCAAATCCACAAGTAGCCTGTCGGCGTCATGGTTACCGGCAGTATATTTATAGTACCATGAACCGTGTTTCTCTCTGCTGAGTTACAGCACATTACCAAATATCTGGATTTTAATAAAGGCGTTAAATTTTGCCGAAACGTACACCATTTGATGAAATGAGTTCCATGATTGCAGAGTGACTGGCTAAGAGTAGACCTGTTTCGCATCACTTTAAGTGTTGTGTGTTTTCTCTATGCTGTGCCCTCAGGACGGCTTTTTCCTTATTGTGCCCCGCTCTGGCGGAGCCAGCTTACCTGGCTATGACTCGATAGGCAAGTCCTAGAGTAGGCCCTATGCTGGTGCCTCGATATGGACATTTACAACATTTGTTTTGAAACATTTCAAATGTCATCATAGTTATTTAATGTGATGACATTATAATCACAATTATGGTTAGAAGTTTTATATGTCATGCCACCACATGGTATTATGACACAGTGTTTTTTTTAAATGATGCTGAGAGAATTCAGTTGTATGCGCTTCACGTCGGCACCCCTTCTTGCAAGCTTTCACCCCCTGATGTGTACCATACCCAGCATTGAGCGGCTGTCTTTGCATGTGCACACTCCTGCCGCTGTGGGTCACATTCACGTTATCCAATACGCCACTTCTCGCAATCTCTGGTCTGCTGTGCTGCATTGCATGGCTCAGGGAACCAAGTGCACTAAAGAAATCAATGTCATTCGAACCAGGACCAGCAGCAATCCCTTTGTGATAATAAGTTAGCCCCTGTGCCTCTTTCTTCTTGAAGGATGTAAATATATTTTACGGCAACACCAAATACATCGTTCTTGCTCACATGCCTGTTGTTCATTATTTCCAGCAAGCTGTGTCCGCTTCCAGGACAATTTTCTACGCTCATGCATTTTGATGTTTTCCGTCAATCCGTTTCGCTGTGGACTCTGCGCTTCCTTCCATGCCTATGGAGATTTAAGATTGAAAGTGAGGGGGGGGGGGGGGTAGGGGGGGGGGGGAGATGATTAATGTGAAGGCCGTATTTTGGCCGGGGGGGGGGGGGGGGAGATTCCTCGAAGTTGTGGTCGCTGTTGTGAGCGTGTCTTTATCAGTCAATCTAGATAGCAAACATGTACTTGAGTAGCTACTTTGTCAATTAAGGCGGACTAGTCGAAGGCCATTATTGTGAAGCCAGCTAGATGTACATGTACATGTACCTGGTTCAAGTCTGGCCTGGGGCCAGTTTTCCAGCTGTATTCATACTAGGGCTCAAACGGTCACGGTTTTACCCCTGACGGTTAACTGCTAAGCTAACGGTCGGTTAACCGGTTATAACCTATAAGCCACGGCAATCCTGCGGACTCTTTTTTAACCGTATATTTGACTATACTCATTCAAAAAATGTACCCTTGCAGTACAACGCACACTTGTATATTCTCTTGCATGCTCATTCATACATACTCTCACACGAAGAGACCAGATATGACCGAATTGACAGCCCAGAAATTGCGTACGTGTGCGACAGCCCGCGAAAGTGCACACTTTGCAACGACCTGATACTTGAAAAATTGACTGAAAAGTTACTGCGTAACCGTTATCTTTATCGGTTCACCGTTAATTCTTCGTAACCGGTCTGCAACCGGTTAATCGGACTAATCGTTTGAGCCCTAATTCATACACATGCAGAGCTAACTGCAAGCGGCAATCGAGAGTTCCCTTGGTTCGAACGGGGACGACAAATTAATGTACTTTGAAAAATTCTATTTAACGCAAAAGCTCTGTCTCAACCTTTATTGTGTACATCATTAATTTTTTTTACCAGATAACCACAAACCATCATGGTGCAAACACCGCCAAAAACGCACAGGGATGCACAAAGCGATGGCAGCCGAAGCAGTGGAGGCGGGGGAAGAGCAGCTAAACCGACTACGGGTCTCGGTTTCAGCACTGCTCATGCGCGCCATTGAAACTTGGCAGTGAAGCCAATGACTGTGACTCACACGCACAGCACAGATACTCACATACACTACAAGCTCCCACGCATGCATTGCAGCCGCAGAGCTCCAGCACTGCTGCATGTGTACAGGTGATGCGGAGACAATAGTTGTAATAGGATAAATATTTACGCAGGGAACATTGTAAGAATGAGCAGAAAAAGAAATCATAATTATGGTGAATCCATAATACAAATCTATTTTCATGAGAAACTCACCATACAAATCCATCTGAACACTAGAAACTAGGCGGGGAAACAAAATGTTTGGCATTTAAGTGGTCTTTTAAAAAACAAAAAACAAAAAAACACATCTACATGTACATCCAGAGGATAGTGCGAAGTGTAGCTAGCACAAAAGTGAGGTGGGAAAAAGTAAAAAGATAAAATAAAATGAAGAGATCCTGATGTGTGTGTGTGTGTGTGTGTGTGTGTGTGTGTGTGTGTGTGTAATGATGTGAAAAGCATGTCGTCCAGAATGCCTTTGCACCACTCCACCTGACGGTAACAATAGCCATACACCTGGCAGTAATGACAACACCCTAGGCAGTCATGACAACACCCTAGGCAGTCATGACAACACCCTAGGCAGTCATGACAACACCCTAGGCAGTCATGACAACACCCTAGGCAGTCATGACAACGCCCCGGAAGTCATGACAACGCCCTGGCAGCCATGACCACATCCTAGGCAGTCATGACAACACACGTGTGAGTATGAAGCCTGCAGCTAGAGTGTGGAACATTCTCAGCCTTATGGTGCCATGCTGCAGTAGCAAATTATCCGCAACCATCAGCAGGGAAGTTCCACAGAGCCGTTAGCCAGTCAGTCTGATCATGTCATCTCTCTAGCATCGGGTGGTACTTTCCCGTGTGTACTCCAAGACCGTGAGCTGAAACACATACTTTACTGCAGTGGCTACAAGTAACTGCTTCAGCCATTAGCTCCGGGTGGCTGCGTTTGTGGCGGTAGAAGCTACCAATTTCCTGAAAGACCTTTCCGCAATCATCAACTGGACACGCGATTGTGTCTGCTTTGGGATGTCTTGCAGCCTGGTGCGCAGCTCTCAACGCCCAGGACTTGAACACCTTCCCACATATAGGGCAGTTAAATCCACTGCTCAAGGTTGGCTGTGAGTTTTTACCGACCGGTGACTTGGTCAGGTGCACGCTCCTCACGTGAGCCGTCAAGGCGTATTGGCTCTGAAAAGTCTTCGTGCAAGTATTAGTTCGACACTTGAAAGCGTTGTGATGGATTGGACGTATTGAAGCCAAGTGTCTAGTAGTGGTACGATTTTTTTGTAGGGTCAGATTGTTCGGGCTGTTACCCGATTTCGGCCGGTTACCGTCGTCAGCACGGTGCAAGTTTGATGTAGCGGATGGCAACTTAGGAGTGGCGTGTGCTTCTTCACATGACTCAACATCTGAAATCGCCGCCAGTTCCATGGATCTGTCCTCGTCGTAACCTACTGCAGCGATCGCTGCTGCCTGCTCCTTATCCCGTAAAGTTCCTAGCAGAGATGTCAGAGCAACCTTCAGCGCCATAGGAGTATGTGGTGCTGTGGCATCAACTCTGCAGGATCGATAAGAAAATTTAATATCGTAGGGAGGATCTCCAGCGGCATGTTTTGGCTCTGGTGTTGTAAGAAACTCCATGTTCTCGTTATCGTCCTCTTCCATCTTTATACGCACCGCCGACGTTGTATTCATAATCCACGGTCGTTCTCAATGCCACTTCAGTTTGAAAAGGGAGAGGAAACGGAAGAGCTACTAGAAATAAGGAGAAAATTGCAAATCAGATACAATCGATCCAAAACATTTTACACAGAATTCTCTCGTCAGGCTACATGACATGTAGGCTTGTACTAAGTTGTAGTATAAACACGCAGCTAGCTACTGTACTACCAGTCACTGCTAGACTAGTCTTTGTAAGGTTGCGCTCACAGTCACACGGCGATAAAAAACATGCGAGAACGGTTGCACGGCGAGGCAGTAAAACTCACTGAAAGCAATCATGAATCGCGTTCACACGACACTATACAATGCCAATGGTACCGTTCACTAGTTACTTCGACCCTCGTGCTGTACAGGCTGTAGTCTTGTAGATCTACTGTTGGCGGTGTGTTTTCCAGACATGGTTACCATGGTTACTGTACATGTATAAGCATTTCGGTTTTTGACACAACGATCGAGTTGTGACGTAACCAGTCCTGGAGATGTCCTAGATAGGACATCACGGAACCCAGCATGCCCCAGCATACATACTATGCTGTTCCCATGGTAATCGTGACACGTGACTCAAAACTTTGTGTCGCGGCCGAGGAAGATGAACATGTCGCACTCAAAACAAGCGCAACGAAGGCCTTTCGTCTCAAAAGCAACAAGTAGTTGTCGTTCTCCTGGCGGCTTGCCTCAAGCGAGTCGAGATTCGTATCTTGCCTCTTGCCTTCACGAATTTTATTTTCCTCGTTGTGGAGTACGACGCCTGGACAAAGGAACTGGCAAGCGAATCGTTTTGGTCGCATTGAAAATTGCAAGTGCACAAGAGGATTGGCGAAGCAATTTGTGTTCGCACTTTCAGCAGAGCAGTAGCTGCTGCTGCGATAAAGTTTTTACTTTCGCCATTGGTTTCAGGCAGCAGAAGGATCTGGCTGAAAGCGATGGCGATACGTCCATGACCACCACGTCCTGGGTTGATATCCAAGAAAGACCGTCCAAGGTCCAGTTTTAGCCAAGAGCTGTCGTATCCAAGAAATCAAAAACGCCAACAGCAAGCTTTGGCCAAATAATATCTTCCAGGTAGTGATTTACGCGCCTAGCGCCTGCTGCCTCGTCTTCCTCCTCTGCATGGCCAGGTTTGGGGCGAAATGAACGCACGGGGCGTGAAGAAACATTCCAAAGGCAAAAGCAAAACATTCAAATAATTAGAACCAATCGTTTCCGAAGAAGCGCCGCGTGGCTACGAGAAACCCCACATGAAATCCCCAAACGAAAACGGCCATTCGGTCGGGTGTTCGATGGCGAATCGAATATACACTACCTCAATCCCCGCCGATGTCTGATATTCTCCGCCTATCCCTTCAAACTTGACCAATTCGGAAAGAAATCCATCGCCATTACGATCGTGCATCCTCCACATACATTCAGAAATGCTCACGCAGCACTTCTTTTCATCGCGTGTGCGCGACCGACGCTTCCATGACAACTCTGGGACAGGTAACCAATCAGACTCATTCAGAGTGCGATGTCCTAGATAGGACATCTCCCCGACTGGTAACCCTAGTCGGAATCTTACCGTTCCGTTCTCCCTCCAAACAGAGCTTTCTATCGTCAAAACGATACCACACCGACGGTATTTTGGGTGTTGGGCGATGACCGTTGCGTGAACGGTGAAATGCTAACCATGTCTATAATATAGACATGGTTAGCATTTTACCGCTCGCGCTATTTTCGATGGTCGGCCTGTACCGTGTTTGTGTGTGTTTAGACATGGCATTTTACCGTTAAGGCTAGATCCAACGGTACTCGTACCCAACACCCAAAAGCCGTCGTTTTGGTACCGTTTCGACGATAGAAAGCTCTGTTTAGCGGGAGAACGAAACGGTAAGACTCCAACTAGGGTTACCATGGTTACGTCCCAAGTCGATCGTTGCGTAAGGAGTCAGGACTCAGAAGCCGAACTGCTAACATAAGGGGGTTGGGGACAGTTAGGCCCAAAATTTTAATTTCAACATCAGCCCAATCTGACATCAGGTTTGAATAGGTACAGCCTTATATTTTCGCTTAGTAACATCAGTTTTTCAATTGCCTGAATAGGTCTTGCGGCTCTTGCCAAAACACACAATTTTCCTTGATAACACACAATATCGCAAAATCCGAAAATTGATGAGAAATCGTTCATAACACCAGATAGGACAGAAAATATGACATAAAATTACACAGACTGTTCGAGGTATAGGGCTTGAAAGTGATGACGTCAAAAACGGCCTGGGAGTAGTAAATTGACATCAGATTTCTATTTTGGATCCACTAAGGTGTGACTTTGCTATTGCCTAAGTATGTGGGTGCATAGCAACCCACTCATGTCGTATGCAGGTGTAACTTTTACTTCGCCACCAGTTGTCACCCCGCCCCCACTAGCCAAATCAGTCAGTTTCACTGGCAACATCACCTTGCTGTGAGTGAGACCGCTTGAAATGTGCTTGGATCCATACAAAAACTGGATCCAGGTGGATCCAGTTTTCGAATTTTTCAAATTGTTGCTATGCCATTGCTATGGAGTGACGTAGCACTTTCAAGCCCTATTGACTAAGATGATATCAACACCGAAAAATGTACACTTTGGTTGACGATGGGATCCAGGTCGTCATTTCCTGGAGAAGAACAAAAAGACGCAAAAATGAAACTTTGAAATACGTTCTATAAGTGGGTTGGAACAGGTTTACCGCGGCGAAAATAGGGGTCACCGTGAATATTCTGGAGAAAAATCCAAAAAACTGCCAAAATTTGCCTAAAATAATTGGTAAATTCACGTATCTATATTGCTTGTACTTCTCTGCTGCTGCTTTGGTCATAACTTATTGGATTTTTGGCTGTTAGGTGTTGCATAAACTCGCTAGAGCCCTCGGCGTTCAGAGCAATACAAGGATGGAATAGCTGAACTAGTGAATTTGCCGGAAAACCCTGGGTGCACGCATTATCGATAGGTACTTTTCTCCATGATTACTCTCCTGTTGGTACTTGGTTTTGATACATGAACATGTAGCTGTGATAGCGCTTAGCACGGCCCCATATCAAACTACAATGAAAGCTGACATGTTGGAACGAATCAGACAACATTGAGTCCTCTTGTTCTTCAACTATGCGAGCTAGAACGTGTCCCCACACTGGCAAAAATGATGGTATTTTATGGTGCGCACAAACAAGTGAAGCACTGTGCAACAGGGCGTTACTTACAGTTGGGTTGCTGCTGGTTCTTGGCTAGGTGTTCAGCCACCGCTAATATAATCTTCCTTGAGGCTGTCACCCGCTTCTTACCTCCGACTTGCTCCTTCATCAGTCTGGAAATGGCTGGCTCACCACTTCGTTTGTAGGACAAGACAAAGTGCTTCATCACCAACCCACTAGCAGCTGCCCGCACTGCAACTGATTAACTTAGAGAAGGACGTTGCTTGGACCAACGGTTCAAGGGTGGCCAGCCGCTTTTGCTGATGTTCTGCAAACTCCATCGCTGAACATGCTGATGCAAAAGTGACAGAGTGCTACAGGATACTGGCATCAGGGCGAGCTTCGACAATTTCAGCTAGGGCCCCAACATCCGCAACAGCATCATGAGCAGCGAACTCATTCCGAACGATGAACTATAACTTGTGAGGCTGTAGCTTGGGAGCTCCGGTATCGCGGTTTAGGGATCAGAGTGTTCACCCAGCACAAACATGCACACCATCGACACACACATGCGTGCACACATACACACACACACGCACACACACGCACACACACACACACACACACACACACACACACACACACACACACGCGCATGCTCTCACACGCAATAGAACACACGCGCGCGTACACACACATACATTCACGCACGTGTACGTACCCACCCACATGCATGTGCACACTCATGTGCATGAGTGGAGATGCCTGCATACACATGTCACACCAACATGCCCTGGGAGCGGTCATGCACGTGTGTATAGTATGTGTGCGAGGGCATGTGCACATGAGCACATATGCATGTGCATGTTCATACATGCATATGGTGCACACATGCACAAACATGCAGGTCTATGCAAACACACACACGCTCGTGCGCGCCGCGCATACAGTGTGCTCATACATTTCCATAGCCATAGGGTGGAAATGACTAGCAAATATCATGAATAAAATCTTATGAGATTGAAAAACACACTTACCCAAAGCAGGTTTGGTGTTGCTCTTAGAAGCACGGAGGCCAGGGTGTTGAGCATAAAATATAATTCTCCACCCCACACTGCTGACACGGAATGACAAGTACGCTGCCCAGGCCGTACCTCTTCTCTTCAACGCAATCAATCAGCGCCAGAGGTTTGCCACATCCAGGATTCTGGCACGCAGACAATCCCACAGCCAGATACCTGAGATGAACGATTCGTCGACCGTGAAGAGGGGCACTGAACGACCTCTTGGCGGGAGTCGAATCCAGGGGCGTTGGTGGTGGAGATCGCCCTTTCCGTTTTTCAGGAACTCGATCGATCGTTTGAGGTTGCGAAGCGTCCCCGGCCCTCCTCGGCTTCTTGAATCGTCCAGTACGCAGAATGCGAGGCCGCGTCGTGGGTGACTGACAGATTACTCTCCCGCGTCTTCATCTCCGCGACACGTCGGCAGGAGAACCAAGCTATCCAAAAACCGCCGATGTCAAAACAAATCCGCAAGTGGCTGAGCTTCTTCCTAAAATCTTCTCGACTCGAGCACGCGCTGCGAAGTCATGGTCAAACTGCTTACTCGATTGTGCATGATCGGGTCCCATTTTTCCACTCCGAAAGGCATTATTTTTCGTAAAAAAATCGGACCCTCTATACACGCCGACTGTCGAAAATAGCGTGAACGGTAAAAATTGATGCTAACTTTCAAAAGCTACCCATGCAACACTCAAGCTAATCTTGATTAGGGGTGCGTTTGGTTGGTACGATCTAGAACAGGATCGAACAGCTGGTGCACATGGAGCAGCCTCATGCCAACCAAACGGTACTCCAGAATTATTATTATTATGACTGTGCTTGTTCGCGTAGACATCAGCATGGCCTGCAGCTGCATTAATGGGCATGCAAATCATGCAAACCAGCCAAAAATGTTCGCATAAGCCACTTCGAATAGATACAAAAGACCATAACAGTTTCAGAAAAAGAAGAAATATGCGAAAAGAAGACAAAAACTAGGGTGCCGACACCACTCGGGCACAGATGCCCACCCAACCGCTTCGGTCAGCAGCAAGGGCACGGAACGCCTCCAGATCGACTTTGCTTGACAAGGAAAGTCCAATCCGCTTGGCATCATCTTGTAGTAGCGTTGGTAGTGTGTGTCTTGGTCGTCCCCTCCAGCCCGCTGGACGAGGCTCTGCGAAGTACGCTCCCATGGCCAGTGATGGTGGGGAGTCAGCCGGGAGCCGGAGGACGTGCCCAAAGAGCCTCCACCTAGCTCTCAAGATGATAATGCTGAGAGGAACCGCGCCGGTACGCTCATAGAGCCTCTCGTTCCTAATCCGATTCGGGAACACAATGCCGATTAGCGCCCGCAGCTGTTTTCGGTGGAAGGCCTCAATACGGTTCAGCTGCTGTTTCGTTGGTGCCCATGTTGCCCAATTGTAGCAGAGTACAGGGAGTACAAAGGCATTATAGAGTCGGATGCGGAGATCCTCCGAAACTAGCGACCTACGGATCCACAGCGTCCAGAGTTTACCAAAGGCAACAGTTGCCAGTTGCTGTCGCCGTAGCATATCCTCGGCATCACCTAATAGGGACCCGAGTTTCTTGGTGGTTCGCCACTCCTCCTCGATGCGATCAGTGTGCCGTTCGATGTGCGTGTGCTCTGTTTTGGTCTCATTCACTTTCAAATCCCATTCGAGGAGCTTGGATATGGTTGGAAGGAGGGTCCTCAGCCTCTCACCATCAGTAGTCACGAAATCCACATCGTCGGCGTAGGCAGTTTCAGTTGGTAACCCCAGGGAGATATCGGCAAGGGGACGTGGTAGAAGAAGAGGCCGAACATCACGCAGCGCACCCTCAAGGTACACAATGAAAGGAACAGGAGACAACGAGTCACCTTGGGGTGTGCCGCGGAGAGTGGGGAATGACGGGCCCTTAGCGGATGGGAGTACAACCCGCAGTACGGTGTCCTGGAGGAGGTAACTGATCATTCGGATTTCATCCGGCTGCAAGAACGATCCCAGCACCGAGATGAGCCGTGGCCTGCTTATACAGTCAAACGCTTTTGACATATCAATGCCTAGGATATCCAGCGCACAGCGATAGCGTTGGCATCGAGCCGCCAACCATCGGTATGACCACACAACATCTGTGGTGCTTCTGCTGGGGCGGAAACCACTCTGTGTGTGTGCAACGAAGTTGTTGACGTCCTTGTTGATCCTCCGCAGCACAATCAATGATAGAATCTTCCTGAGCGCTATGAGACTCCAGAAACAGAGCACATTTTTGGGGGAAAATGTGCCAAACTTGGTGCATTCTTCAAAATGTGTATGGGTCACCATGGTCACTTAGTACGGTACGACGAGTCCAACCCAAAAGCGTATGGACGTGATCATTTGGGAACAAAATCGATGTTCCCGCCAGGTTTCACTGTGAAAAAGTGAAACTTCTTGGTCTGCTCCGGCTGCGGCCTCGAGGCCGGAGCAAGCAGAACATGTTCTGGCCGACCCAGAACAGGTGCAGTCCCAACCAAACGCGCTGTTCTGGTGAATCCTGTTCTAGTTCGTACCAACCAAACGCACCCTCACTCTTGCGGAGTAGCCGTGTCTAGGGTCTCGGCCAAGATAAAAATCAGTTGCACGCGTGTGTCCAAGTTTATCGTATCCGAGTAAATATCCTAGGAAACGGTGCGATAAAAGTAAGTTTGCCCGTCGTGTGAATGGCCTTATAGGCCTTATAGGCCATTCACACGCGGCTAATGGGGTCTTTCATGGCACTTGTGCCAGTGGTTGTGAGACTTATCCCCTCACCCCCACCGTTAGGCGCTGCATCTGCCGCTAGGGTTTACCGGGTGTTAGCGGCCGTCGTGAGTTCCCTTCGGGAACGGACACGATAATTTACTTTTACTTTACACGACGTGTAAACATTTGCACGCGTCTGACCAAGATAACACTGGCAAACCGTGATCCAGTTCACACGGTGTTGGGCAAACTTTGCAACCGTCAATGTATCCATTGTGACCTGAAAATGCCGGGAAATGTTCAATTTTGAATTTTCCCTTGTTGAAGCACTGCATTTGCAGTACGCACTTTCAACAACCGACACTTTTCCTGGCGTGCAAAGATAATCGCGAGCAAAAGGGCCTCGGCCAAGATAAAAAATCAGTTGCACGCGTGTGTCCAAGTATATCGTATCCGAGTAAATATCCTAGGAAACGGTACGATAAAAGTAAGTTTGCCCGTCGTGTGAATGGCCTATTACATTTTGTAGTGTGTACAGGCCAGCAGATCATGCAGAAATAGGGTGGGCGTTTGCAGGGGACTCTACGGTATACATGTACTCGCGGTGAAGTTTTTTTAGGTTTTTGCCAACTTTTTGGGGATAGGCTCTCCGCCTTGTCCGTGAAATGAAAAAAAAGGTTCTGCGTTCCGGCTCACCGCCTTCTCCGCGAACATTAGAAAATGAGTATGCTAGTCGACCTCAACAGGGGATAGCACTGTGCTGGCGATGAAGTACGGCATCCGTGGAGCAAACAAGGGATTTGCTGTCGATCGGTGGGGGAGCAGAGTGCGCCTCTGGCAGTAGCTGAAGGCCACCCTCCTGTCTAAACTAATACTAGTACCGTAAAGTACCGCCAGAGCGCCCCGTCTCGCGAGAGCGCCCCACCTTGATTTTACAGCCAAGGGAAGAAAATGGTATGGCAGAATGCTACTAAGTTTGTACGATGTGAGAACCTTCGTGTACTGTAAATATACAAATTTTCGGCAGCTATTTAATTTCGGCTATATTCGGCACCGACCCAAAACGCCTAACTTAAAACGCCGATGAAATTTTTCACAGCATCTGTCGCAATACCATGTCCTCTACCCCACGCCGAAAATAAATCGCCGCCGAAATGTCAAAAATCGTGAAGTGCCGAAATTTTGCAGCGCCGAAATTTTGTGTATTTACAGTACTAAGGTCACACTTGGTATGCTTTTATGTGGAGCTCGAAGGTAAACTGGGCACGGATTGACTGCAAAATGTGCAATGTTTGTACAAGGTCCGTGTCGTATGACCTACAGACAGAAATCCACCTCCACAAGGCGGCCACGAAAGGACGAGATGGTGGGGCGCTCTGGCGGTACTTTACGGTACTACAGTTTTGCTTATGGTTTCCAACACGTTAGAATTGTTGTTGATTTTTATTTTGCTTCGCAAGGCCAAACGGGCAATGGTGCCCAATTCTATGGAAGCGAATTTCAAAAGGGAGAGAGCTACGGGGAGAGATCGAGAGAGAGAGAGAGAGAGAGAGAGAGAGAGAGGGGGGGGAGGGAGGGAGGGAGATGATAAGCAATTTTGTAGCGTCAACAGAGCGATTTTGCAGTGTCAATAGAGCGATTTTGAAGCGTCAACAGAGGGAACACAAAGAGTTCATAAGCGCACAAGCACGCAGAGCAATTTTGTAGCGTCAACAGAGCGATTTTGCAGTGTCAATAGAGCGATTTTGAAGCGTCAACAGAGGGAACACAAAGAGTTCATAAGCGCACAAGCACGCAGAGAAGAGTAAATGACGTGGTGTGTGGACGGGAAAAGTCAGACAGAGCATTCATTGCAAGGTGTAGGGGATGGAGGCAAGCTTAAATTGCTGGGCAGCCTTGATCTCCCTTACACTCCTTGGGAGAGCGTTCCAGGCCAAGGCTGCCTGAAAGGCCAGGCGAGATCTGCCGGCTTCTGACTGTGCCGAGGGGACAGTGAGGCCCCTGGAAACCTGGTGCCGGGTGGTGCTGCCAGCTGATGGTGAGAATAGGTCCTGGAGGACACTGCTGGCTTTCCCATTGACACAGCGCCACACCAGGACGAGCCGCTTCTGGGCGTAGCACTCCCGAACTCTGTACAGGGACATCCGTTCGAGCAGAGGCTGAGCCGAGGTGTGAGGCGGCAAACCGTATACCGCTCTCGCCGCTCGGTTCTGCAGGACCTGAAGGCGATCAAGCTGCGAAACCTTGAGGGAGGAAGAGAAGGCGTTAGACCCATATAGGAGGTCAGGCATGATGACTGACCTCACATACTGGATGCGACTACTGAGGCTCAGACATCTGCGGGACCGCCACAATGCTCCAATCTTCTGCACAACTTTCTTCGCCATCGCGTCAACATGGGGGTCCCACTTCACAGCGGCGTCAAGTGTCACGCCGAGGTACCTTGCTGTTGGGCTCAGGGGAAGCTCTGTCTGGTTGCAGCGGACAGCGACATGCTGACCCGCATTGCGTTGTGGTACAATTGACAGGACCTGGCTCTTCTTGTCATTTAGTAGCAGATGTCGATGCTTGAGCCAGTCAGCGACGTTGGTGACGGCCCCTGACAGGCAGGCTGATGTGGCTAGCACTGATTTTCTGTGGCAGTGCACTGCAATGTCATCGGCAAATTGCAGAGATGGAGCAGGATGGGCTATGGCAGGGACATCACGGGTGTACATGCTAAACAGGATCGGACCTAGGACCGAGCCCTGAGGTACACCAGATGAGCACTTAGCAGCAACACTGTAGGTGGGGCCAATGCGCACTTGCTGGGTTCGATCGCTTAAGTAGCTGCAGAACCGGCGAAGGGAGGCATTGTCCAGGCCAAGATTGAATAGGTCCCGGACCAGTTGGCTGTGATTGACCTTGTCAAAGGCTTTTGACATGTCGATTAGGCAGACGCCTGTGGTCAACTTGTCGTCCCGGGCCTTTAAGATGGCATCTGTTGCTACAACTAGGGCGTCCTCTGTGGAGTGCTCACGGCGGAAGGCAAACTGAGTCGGTGGTATGGCACATGATCGCTCCAGATGTGCAACAAGTTGCTTCTGGACTATCTTTTCGAGTAGTTTGGATACGATCGGCAGGAGCGACACAGGACGATAATTTGCAGCTACCGATGGATCGCCAGCTTTGAAGAGAGGGCTTATTACAGCATGTTTGAAAGCCAGAGGGACTTCACCATGCCTCAGCGATGAGCTGAAGAGCACTGAAAGCGATGGAGCCAACAGGTCAGCGCAAGCACGTAGCAGACACCCAGGAATCCCATCACTGCCTGTGGCTTTGCAGGGATGTATCCGTTCCAGGAGGTGCTTGACCTCATCTGGGGTAGTTGACTGGAAGGTCAGCATTGAGCCTTGCGGCTGTGGACCAATGGGAATCTGGAGCTGCGCCGGACGGGACGGATCATGTACAATGCTGTGGAAGGCATCCGAGACTTCTGTGATGTCGCACGTTGGCTGATGATGTTGACGAGAACGGCTAGTGACAGAGTTGATCACGGACCACATCTTCCGCAGGTTGGAGGAGTGATCACGACACTGCTGTTGGAAATGCTGATTGCGTTTTCGCCGGTAAGCATTTGAGGCTTCTGCACGGGCTCGCTTGTACTCCTCATGTAGATGCACGTTAGTCTTATCTCGTAGCCACTTTCGGTGAAGTCTATTCTTGCGCATGTTCAGTTGGAATAGATCACGGTCGGACCATGGCGGGGGAGTCCTCCTGGTGGAGATTCTGACTTCACGCAGGGGAGCGTGACTTTCGAGAACCGACATAAACTTGGCATGCCAGCCATTCCACATCTCGTCTACAGTTGCAGCAGGGGGAAAGGAGTGGAGGCTGCACGAGGCAATATCTTCACGAAATGTTGCAAGGTTAATGGCACGGATCTTGCGGGTGAGGCGCACTGATTTCCGCTGCAGTGGGTGTTGCGAGGAGGGTAGAGACAGACTTGCATGCACAAGGAAGTGATCGCTGATCGTGCAGGGTACAACTTCACAATGACTTATAGTACCCACGGTGGAGAGCACTAGATCAAGCAGCGTTCCATCGGGACATCGGGGTGTGACTCGTGTGGCAGACTGAACATAGTTGCGGAGCCCATACGATCCGATAAGGTCCCAGAAGCGCTGGTGAGGACGACTGGTCATGCATTGAGCCAGATTGATATTAAAGTCACCCACCAGTGTCATTGATGGCGTGATCGTGGCAGCATTGTGGAGGACTGTGTCCAGGTGGCCCCAGAAATCAGCAGTTGCATTTGGTGGGCGATAGAGGCAGCCAACGAGGTGCTGGTGTTGCCCTCCGCCAATAGCTATCCAGGTAGCCTCCAGGTGGCTATTGTGCAGATCAGAACGATAGGTAACTGGGAGTGATGTCTTGTAATAGAGGCATGTGCCCCCACTCTGGCGATCGGGCCGGTCACAGCGAACAACACTGTAGCCGGGAATACAAATTTCGCCATCCGAGATTGTACTATCCAGCCAGGTCTCGGCAACGCCAACGACGTCCCAGTTGTGCTGGTGGGCAAGGCTGTCCAGTGCATGCAGCTTGTAGCGCAGGCTGCAGATATTCAAAAACCCGATGTTGAGGCTCGTGACGAACAGTTTGAGGTTGTTGCAGTTGGTTGTTCTTTGGGAGCCCCGGGACCTTCGAGGCTGGAAGGGAGTAGCATTGGGGTTTAGCAGGGGTATATGGCTGGCAGCAGACATCACTGTTTGCTGACTGGAGCCACGCGCTTTGCAGCTTGGTCTTCAGCGGGAGAACCACGCTGGTGGGGTCGTGACTTCTGCCCAGGGGTCCGAGTTAACTCAGCGCCGGGTTTGGGAGAACTGTCGCTGCTGCTATTGCGGCGGCTGCTGCTGCCGCTCCTGCCACAGTCGTTTCCGCTGCTGTCGTCGCCACTGCCATCGTCCCTGCTGCTGTGGGCATTGTCGTTGCCGTCGCCAGAATTGTAGGCTTTTCATTTACACTGTTTCCATTTTCATTCTATTCTCTATCTAAATATCTCTCTTTTCTTCATGCCATTCCAGGCGTGAGCCATCCCCTGGATTAACAAAACGGGTGCTATTTGAAACAAAAACACCGAAGGATGTACCCAGAGTGCTGACAGCGCTCAACACCACAAAGGCAGAGCGTAATACACAACAGAACAACAAGGACAATCAAGGCTTGTTTGCTGCTACTTTAAGTTTCATGCTCACGCAATCATCAGGCAACATCCTTTCTTTTTTTTTCGTTTATCCTTTTTGCCTGATGATTGCGTGAGCATGAAACTTAAAGTAGCAGCAAACAAGCCTTGATTGTCCTTGTTGTTCTGTTGTGTAAAACAAAAACAAACAAAAATCAAAAACAAGGGATGCACGCAACTCTGGACGCGTCTGCAGCACATTACGTGTCTCGTACGGCCGTACACACCTCACATGTTCATACCATGACACAATACAAGGGTAGAATCAATAGGGAGGTTCCGGAGTACGATTTTTCGTGCCAAAATCCGTGGAGGCTCTACAGATTTTTTATACGTCGTTTTCGAGCAGTGAAAAGTTCCGGGGTACGGAACTTATGTGTTTGCCGTCATTGCCTAGGTTACGATCGCAAACACGTCACATTCCCGCGCTATGCCTTTTTATTTTGAAAATTTGTACCGAAATCAAAACTTCCCGCGAAAAATCGATGTTTCTCGTACCAAATTTGTACGCGAAAAATCTTTCTGCACCCGATGACGCAAAATCTTCATACGAAGCATGGTTCGTATGAAAGCCAGTCCACACGGATTCTCGTGCCGAAAAATCGTATGGAGCACGCCTGGAAAAAATCCGTAGCGCCCATACGGATTTTGGAACGGAAAATCGTACTCCGGAACCTCTAGGCTGTGTTTACATGAAGCGTTTCAACCCGGGTTGAGTTCGACCCGGGTCAGATTTCAACCCGTCATGTGCACAAAATGAATGGCGCGTTTACATGACGCATTGCGCTTGACCCGGGTTGAAATTTCGCCGGGTCAACCCGGGTCAAGAAAATCGTACAAACGTACTTCTGTGCGTATCTCGCGCCAGGTTTGAACAGCACTGCACATACAAATTTCGCGCGGAAGGATTCACGTGACTATACGGAACTGTAGAAGTGGACTTTTGGCGGCATATCAGTATTTGACCCGGGTCAACTGTCTTCATGTAAACGCTCACCTCTTTTGTCTATCGTACAGACTTTCAACCCGGGCTGAACCCGACTCGGGTTGAAATTTCTCATGTAAACACAGCCTAAGGCTGCAACCACACTAGGTACAAAATCACGTACAAACGGCATTACAGTAGAAATCGTCATGCCGACGCGTGCGAAATGCAAAATGCGCTTTGTAGGTTTTCAGCAACTGGCGCACCCCTGTAGAAAGCCACGTTTGTCGTTTTCGTCGTTTTCGCGGTCCATCTCCTGTGTACAACTTTGTTTTTGTACCTGGTTGTCGTACATAGCATCAGCATCAGCATTGTTTTTGAATTTCCCGGTCTTTTCCAGCGCATGGCACACGCTTTGGTACGACAACGTCACGTGCTGGTTGCGTGAAAACGTCATCTATGCAGACCAAAAAGTGTAGTGTGGTTGCGTACCGACTTGCACTGAGATATGCATGAAAATTTGTACTGTGATTTTTACTTAGTGTGGTTGCGGCCTAAGGGCGCGTTCAGACTGGCGTAAAAAACAAGCGGAATGTGAAAGTTGACATGCTTGGTGTCGAGGGCGAGGGCTATGGCTACTACCTGAATGCTGCCAAATCAGTACTGTTGGTCAAACCACAACACGAGGAGTTGGCAAGAGAGATCTTCAGCGGCACAGACATTGTCATCAGAACGGATGGTCAACGCCATCTTGGGGCGGCTCTTGGAACAGAGGCATTCTGCAACGAGTATGTGCAGCTCAAGGTCGATGGGTGGTGCACAGAAGTCTGCAATCTTGCTGCTATTGCCATGACACAACCGCAAGCAGCCTATGTGATCTTCACCAATGTCCTGCGCCATAGATGGTCCTTCTTAGCAAGGACAATGCCGGGTGTGCATGAGTATTTTCACCCACTGGAGCGGACTATTGCAACGAAGCTCATCCCGGCTCTGACTGGTCGATCACCACTTGGAGCAGAGGAGCGGTCAATTCTCGCAATGCCCTGCCGCCACGGAGGTCTAGGGATAGTCTCCCCTCCCTTGCTGACCGCCCAGTTTGGTGCTTCCGTGAAGATCACAGAGGCCCTGGTCATGAAGATCCGGAGACAAGACATGTCGCTAGAAGGTGTTTCTGAGCAAACTCGCATAGCCAAGTCTGCTGTCCGGGAGGCTCATAGACAACAAGAAGAGCAGCACCGAAAGGATGTCTTCAACAGCGTCTCTCCCGACCTGCAGCGGTGCATGGAGCTTGCGGCGGAGAAGGGCGCATCCAACTGGCTAACCTGCCGCCCTTTGGCACGGTTTGGCTTTGCGCTCTCCAAGGCCGAGTTCCGGGATGCCCTCTGTCTGCGCTATGGCTGGCAGCCCAACAATCTCCCCACCAAGTGTGTGTGCGGGCAGCAGTTCACAGTCACCCATGCTCTGTCTTGCCCCAATGGTGGCTTTCCCAGCATTCGGCACAACGAGATCAGGGATGTGTTTGCAGAGTGTTTGGTGAAAGTCGCTCATGCAGTGGAGATCGAGCCACATCTAGAGCCCCTTAGTGGAGAGCACCTTCAGCCCCGCACCGCGGTGAGAGGCGACCAAGCTCGATTGGATGTGGTGGCAAATGGCGTGTACGGCGGTCGTTTTGAGCGTTCATTTTTGGATGTAAGGGTTTTCAACCCCTATGCTCGCTCTAATTCATCGTCGTCCATTGCCTCTGTCTACCGCAAACACGAGCAGGAGAAGCGCCGCTTATACGAAGCACGTGTGCGAGAGGTGGAACATGCCTCCTTCATCCCTGTCGTCTACGCCACATCTGGTGGAGCAGGTCGAAGTGCTAATGCTTTGGTGAAGAGGATCGCAAGTCTCATGGCAGAGAAGAAGTTGCAGCCCTTCTCACAAGTGATGGCTTGGCTGAGGTCGAAGATCAGCATCTCTCTCGTCAGAGCCTCTATCCTGTGCCTGCGCGGTTCAAGACGTCCTAGGGCACGCATCCATCTCAACCCAGACAATATTGGTCTGGAGGTGGTTGAGGCTCGGCTTTCCTCATAGACGGACTCATCTTCTTCTTTAGTGATCAGTGTGCAATTGAACTGTCTTTTTTCTTTTCTCTGTTTATTCTTTTTACCAGGCGTGGGCCATCCCCTGGACTATAAAAATGGGTGCCTTATTATTTTTCTCCTTTTTCATCATGCATTCATCAAGAAGGATTATGTATGATTTCTGTTCATAAAAAAAAAAAAAAAAAAAAGTTGTCAAGGTGAATCGCTCACGTGACGTTCCCGCCAGCGTAAACACGGAAAAGGTTTCCCACCACTCTGCAGGCCAGTGGAATGCAGATTCCGGCGGCACGCGGAGCGCTTTTGATATCCTTGCAGCACATGTTCTGTCTTTTCGTTTTATTTCAGCCTCTACTCTTGCAGTCTGACTGCATGCTTTTGAGTTTTGAGTTTTGACTTCTAGACTGCCAACTTCTCCCATCATGCCGAAATCTTTGTTCGACTCAGCAATGGAGAGGGAGTTCATGGAGCTGTACGTGGTGATTTTTGCGGGCCGTTCTGCAGGCAAAACGTTACTGCGAACGAGAAGCATACTCTGATCGCGGAGCGGATGAATGCCACCCAAGCACCAAATACTCCGGACATAGTATTTTTTTCCGTCGACGAGCACAAGCAAAAGCACAATGATCCAGCATCTCAACAGACTGAATTAGTTTATTTTGATATCCAACTCAAACTGAGTCAACTCAAATTTTTCAAATCTCGAAGCTTCACATGACTGGCCGTTCCAGCGGGATACATGTGCAGTGTGATTGCGATTCCCGGGATTACGCTGCAGCTTTCCGGCGGCTATTCACGTCAGTCTGAACGCGCCCTAAGCAAACACAGCCTAAGGCTGTGTTTACATGAAGCGTTTCAACCCGGGTTGAGTTCGACCCGGGTCAGATTTCAACCCGCCATGTGCACAAAGTGAATGGCGCGTTTACATGACGCATTGCGCTTGACCCGGGTTGATTTCAACCCTCCCCCCAAGAAGAAAATCGTACAAACGTACTTCTGTGCGTATCTCGCGCCAGGTTTGAACAGCACTGCAGCAGTCCGTGCGCCAAGGGGTACTCAAGGGCTGATTTTATTTGCAACCGCGGGAAACGAAGTCACCAAGACGCCTTCATTTGAGGCTTTTGGAATTGGAGAATTTATTGAATTTAGGTATGGCTCTCGTCCCTTCTAGAGAACTAACCAAGACCCTGTGGGGGCAAAAGGAGACTTCTTTGGCTCCGTGAATACACTAGCTATGCGGTGGTCTACTTAGTTTGAATGTGTGGTTCGTATTCAAAGTGTTCCAAGCCGCAGTTCACTCGAAGGTCATCGTGGATACGTCTGCACTTGAAAATCAAGGCTGGAAAGGACTGCCTGGTGTGTCCGAACGGTATGTTTTGCACTGAAGGCATTTTTTGTATGAATTGTTGAAAGTGTCTACTTGTTCGAAATGCAAAAGACATGGTCGTAGATCCTTGGCCCACAACACCCCACTAAATAAACTATGACCTGTCGTGAAATTATGTGAAATTG